AAGTGTGTACAAACTTCCTGTGAGAGTGACAGTCATCCATGGTGAATAGCCTCTCTTCATCTTCAGGGGAAGCTTCCTCTATGAGTTGCACCAGCATCACTCTCAGCCTACTCACTATGTACACTCCTGCCACTCTCCTCCTCCTGCAGGCCAGGACAATATTAAAGGAAAGAGCACACAGTAAGACAAACACCCAGTTTGCACTCAAGGAGCAACCCTACAGAGACAGGCAGTTTTCTCCCATTCTGCTGTCCCGTTGTAGGCTCCAGAAAATGCCATTTGTCACATTGCCTGGGCATACAGGATCACACAGTGAAAGAGTGCATTACTGTGCATTCCCCAGAGGAGCTGGGTTAGCACTCTTGAGACAGCCTGAACAGCCATTCTGCAGCTTCTAACTGTGGAGACCCGAGGGAGCATGCAGGCTATTTTCTTGCCTTCATGTCTCTTGAAGGAGGTAAAGTATATGCTTTGAAAAATATGGAGTCAAAATAAAGCTGTGTTTACATAAATATCCAAAGTCATCTTTGAAGGTGTTTTTTGCACTATAAAACACAGAAGCAGAGGTAAGAAACAAACCCACTGGGATACTGGGCTAGAAGGAAGCACATGACTCCTGTTTGGTTGGTTTATTCTGGTTTCCTTCTGACACAAGTGTCACAAACCTAGTGAAGCACAGTGGTGAATCTGACTCAAGAGATAAGTCTATTGAAGAGTTTCACAGCACTGATAAGAGCTGGATGAGAAAGTAAGAGTTCTCTGAGTGCAGTTGTAATAGACCTTAAGCAAATAGATGGCTGCTTGCAGAAATGATCAGATATGCTGGGCTGGGTAGGACACAAATGGGTGAAACTGATAAACAGGCACTGCATGAAGGATTAGCTTTATATATGATAGGTCCTTCTGGGAGAAAAAGAAGAACAAAGTTGCCTAAGTTCAAGAGCAGTATGTGGCCTCTAGAGCAAAAGGAGACTGACAGTGCTGTTAGCAGCCATCCTGTGTAAGTCTGGTTAGCAAAAGTTAAGTGAAGAGAAGCATTTTGTGTCCTTTGGAGATTTCCTCTCCAATTAAGCAGACACCACTCTCCATACGATTTAAAAAAAAAAACCAACCAAAATCCTCACAGCAATAAATCGGTTCCTTAAACCCAGTCTAAACCTTCCCTGTTCCAGTTTATGACCACTCATCCTCCTACCATGCAGTTATGAAAGAGCCTGGCTCCATCTTCTCAGTAACTTCCTCAGCTGTGCAGGTAAGCTTCTGCTAGGTCCTCCTGGAGCTGTCTCCTCTCCAGCTAAGGAAGTCCAACTCCCTCAGCTACTGCTCACAGGAGAAATTCTCCATCTCCCAGTTACCTTGGTGACAACCCCCTTGATGCACTCAGATTTATCCATGTCTTTCTGCTATCAGGCAGCCCAAAACTGGACACTGTATTTGAGACACAGTTTTATGATTTCCAAGAAAAAGGGGATAATCACTTCCCTGTGTATATTTATCAGGTCACTCCTGCTCCTAGCTGCCTTTGCTACTGGGGCCACACCAGTGCTCCATGACCCCTGGTGGGTCAGTCCGTCCGTCCATCCATCCACTCCAGGGGCAGGAGTTGGGATTTGTTCTTGCTGAATTTCATGAGGTTTCTGTCAACCTATTCCTACAACCTGGGCAGATGTCTCTGAAAGGCAGTTCCTACACATTCAATTTTTTTTTTCTGTTGCAAGCACAGATCTTTCTGAAGATGCATTTACAGATGTGCCTTAATTAATTATGTGTCACAGCTTCAGATGAACAATACAGAGAACCATTTTTTAAAGACCAAGATGACTCATTAGGACTGCCAAGGTTGTGGAAAAGAGAGTAGTTTAGACATATGCAATTCTTGCCCCAAAGGTGCACAGACTCTGCAGTAAGGTTCATCCATCTTTTTTTCTGCTTCCTTTCTCAAAAAAGGAAGTCATATTCATGAAAATTTCATACTGACATTTTATGGCTGAAATTCCTGGCCTGTTTTAAGAAAAATGCCTGCTGAACAATATCTGGAAAAGTTTGCCCATCTTTGAAGCAAAGGCACTGGCAACTTTATGCCTATTGTGCACGGTGATGTTCTGCACAGTTCTATGTCAAAAGGACTTCTCCACACATTACAAGATCCCAGGAGATTTGCTGGATTTAGTAAGAAAATCCAAGTGTATTTCTTCCATCCTTCCCATTGTCATGCAGAGTGAGAACAAAGAGGCTGATGTATTATGTTCTGGCTCTTGTATCACCAACAGATTTGGTAGGCGAGAAGTGGCTACAGAATCTCTTATTTGTATCATCTGCAGAAAGAGAAGGTTTCAGCTTGACTCTCTCACTCCAGCAGAAGTTTGTGGTGCTGGCAGTTGGGAAAAAATCCATAGGGAAAAAAAGGCCTTTAAAAAAGCGCCTTTCTGCTGTCAGCTGAGCACAGCGATGCCTGAGTCACTGCAACATAGTTATGAGAAGACAACGGCAAGCTGCTTCCAGAAGCAGCTCTCCAAGCAGAAAAGCCATTTAAATGAGGCAGGACAGAGCCAGCCTGCCCACAGCCACCACACACTTTAAACACACTGTCCTGGCAGGTGGCACCAGATGGCAGTCTTACACAAAAGCTTCTTTTTCACAGGGTCTGCTTGAGAAGGCAGAAGTTCTATTTAACTATAAAAAGACACCACCTATATTGGTTAGGGGTTCCCTGACTTCTGACCACAGCCCATGTTGCACCTGGTAAAAGGGCTGGTGTCAATACATACTATTTTCATTTTGGTAAAGGAATAAATGGTCTTTGCATAAAGCACTTCCTATCAGCATAGCTTCATCCACACTGGATGTGTACAGAATTAGGGAAAGCACAAAACTCCTAACAACAGGTCTCAGATATGAGCAGGGGAGGCAAGTGCTCAGTCTTGGGTGATGTGCCATTGGAAGGTCTGCGTGAACACTGCGGACTCTGCTGCCTGTGGTAGAGCCCAGTGGAATCAATCCTCGAGGCACAGTGTAATCTCGGAAATTAGGAGCTGGCGAGATCTCTGAGGGATGGGGCTGCCTCCATAATCTCTTTCCCAGACCCTGTGTGCCTCTGCTTGGTGCAGTGCATTTTAATATTTATGCAAATTCTGCATCTCTACCGTCTCACTCACAAAGCAGGCAACATAAAAGGCTTTCAATATCTTTTGTGTAGCAAAGCAGAAGTGGATTCATCAGAGGATTCGCCCTCTCCCTGTTCCCTGCTCCCACTGCAAGGGTAGCCCTCAGGGACGCTCCCAGTGCTACACCGGGAACACGGGAGGTGCCAGCACTGTGAAAGGCCAGTTGCCATGGCTCAGATCTCTGGCCGGGGCAGGCACACTGTCCCACGGCTGCAGCCGCTCCGAGGCTGGCGGAGCCTCGCGTCCAGGCAGTGCTCTGCTGCCCAGCGCCGGATACCCTCGCTCCAAAGCCCTCTGGGGTGGGGACCCTCCCACTTCTGCCTCAGGGCTGGGTCCTGCCGGGCAGAGGGGGCGCAGGATCCCATGGAAACTCCCATGGAGAGCTCGGGCTCTACAGCAGAGTCTGTGCGTGTTCTCAGGGAGAGCTGCTGGGCTGAGAACTCGCCTGACTCCTAGGAGAAACTGGGCAGTTTCCCTAGAGGTGAACAATGCCCCTTTGGTTCCCTGAGACTGGCAACACATTTTCCTCCCTAGTCACTCTTCCCCCTCACCCTTCTCTCCAAAGTAAATCAGTCCAGCCAAAGCGCCAAGCGGTAGACGCTTCATCTCCCAAATGCCACTCTGAGGAAAAGTTACAGGCAAAGGAGAGAAGAGGCGCTGAGCCCAAAGCTCTCCCGACTGCAACCGGCCGTGCCTCGGTGCTGCCCGAGCTCACACACGGCAGGTCGTACATTCCCCGCCTGGCATCGCACACTTCTCCCCAGCCATCAGGCTCATAAAACCATAGTGTACAACAGCCCTGAGATTCCCCGGCGGGGTCTCCTCAGGGTAACAGCGGCCGGGCCAGTCCAGCGGGGAGCTGGCCGTGTGCGACAGTGGGCACCCGGCTACCTGCATCTCCGGGGCACCCCGGGGCAGGGCGGGGACCGAGGAGAGCTCGCCGCCGGGTCCCGTCGCCGCTGCCGGGGCCGGGAGCGGGGGTGCTGCCGACGGTCCCTTACCACATTGCTGAGAAAGTCGGCCTCGCTGAAGTCGCCGAAGTCGAGGAAGCCGGTGCCGGCGGCGGGGAAGAGCCGCTCGGCGGGGAAGGGCTCCAGGATACTGTCCATGGTGCCCGCGGCGCCGGGGCTCGGCCGCCCCCCGCGCTCGCCGGCCGGGCTCACTGCGGCCGCGCGCTCCCGCCCGCCCCCCGGCGGCGGCGGCCCATGGGCGGCGGGGCGGCAGCGACCGCCGGGCGGGCACGGGAGCGGAGCGCCGCGCCGGTGCCGCTCAGGGCGGCTGTCAGTGCCCCGCTGCCGAGGGGCCGGCGGGCGGCCGCGGCACGCCCCCGCCGCTCTCCGGGAGCCGCCGGGGCGGGACTTCCCGCGCAGACACCCCCTCGAGGCAGCGCCCCCGCCTCCCGGGCAGCCCCCGCACCGCCGGGCGGGGCGAGTCCGGTGGCTGCCCGGGGCCCCCGTGCCCCTGCCGGCGCTGCGCAGGGACCCGAGGGCGCTGCTGGTCCCCGGCGGAGCCGTGTCAGACGAACCGAACAAACTCTCCTTTCAACAGCCGGCCGGCTTTGGTGGCTCCCTGCATCCCTCGGGGAGCGGCGCCGGGAAAGCGCGGGGTCGGAGCCTGAAGGGCTTGGGAGGTCTCCTTGCCCCCGCTCCCCGCAGAGGGCTTGCAGGTAGGCCTGGCTGCAGCAGCACATGTGGCTGCTCTGTAATTAAAGAGCTGGCACTATTAAAGAGCTTCAGGAAGATTATATGGTTTCAGATAAACAGGATTATGGATCTGTGTCCTCTCTGATCATTACTCCAACCAACACTCAAGAAAACCACTTATAATAATCCCGTTGAAGAAGCCCTGATGTTTTATTAATCTGTCCCTATTTCCATGGCTCCACGAGAACAGACTGGACTCCCAGCTCCAAGGAGGGGGCTTTCTTGGTCACAGGCATCTGCAGAAAAAAACCCCAAAGATAGCACTGCATCTCTCCTGGGGGAAACCTGGCCAGAAGTTGCCAGCAGTGAGGGTTCTGGCAAAGAAGTGCTGATTTGAAGGTGGCTGGAGCCAGTGCTTGAATTGGACACGGGGTTTTCATCCATCCAGGCTCTTGCTCCACATTCTCCATGGCTGTCAGAACTAATAGCACAACCCAAGGTGCTCCTTGGCTACTGGTTGCACAAGCAGCCACATCCTGCACACAAAAGCCTTTATACTTACACACACAATGAGCTCTTTCAGTTACATTTACTTTTACCTTATGTTTCAGTCAAGTGTAAAGAGCCTTTGGGTAAAAGGTCAGAGACATAAATTCAACCAGGATGGAGTTGTGCTGAGAAAATAATGCTGTTCTTACTTCCTAAATGGTAAAGAAACCTCTTTGTTAATGTGGATGCCAGTGGGTTTAAAGGGGGAAACACGAAAACCTTTGCCACTCTAAGATGGGAAGAAGAAATACGTCCAGACCCTTCAGCAAGAAGTAAACCTGTCTCCAAGTAAGACGGAAGATGTCTTTTCTTCAACATCCCAGTCAGCAGGGTTCTCAGCTGCAAGGAATAGACAGACTGAATCCTGCCATAGCAATGGAGTGACAGCCAGGGTCACAGAGCACGGACAGAGCCACAGCAGGGGCAGCTTCCCCTCCTGCCACTAACCAAACACAGATATCACTTCCCTAACTATGGAGACTCACTGGTGAAACCAAGAGCTTCTGGTTCAGTGCCTCACCCAAGCTAACACAAGGGGAAGCCTCTTCTCAGGACACACACTGTATTTATCCTCAGGCCGAGGAAGCTCAGATGGTGTCAGCTCCGGTTTGCACAGCATGGGTGGCAGTGTCATCAGAAAAGGTCAGGCAAAGTAAACCTCACTTGTTTGTGTGTGCTCTGAAGGGAAAATGCTTTGGCACAGTCAGATAGGAGCTGTGAAATCCATTCTGGAGATTAAAATATCTCAGAAAAAAAAAAAAAAAGAAATTGCCTGGTCTGAAACCCTGCTTCTATTCAGTGCTTTTAGTACTGAGTGTAACTGCCCAGATGCAGCTTCTCTGCCTATCACTGCTGCACTTTGCAGGCAAGGAAGAATCATAAGGAATACCCCGTTTTGATGTTGAACAGGTAAGCTGCTCTGTCTCATCTTGGAGAGCTCTGATGGGAGCCCCCATCTCAGCATTTGTGTAGAGCTTTGAAATGGACGCTTTGCTTACGTCATGCATGAGTGCAATTCACTAAAGGCAATGGAAATGTCATCTAGGTGGTCAGAGGGTGTTGCTACTGACCCTCTGGAGCCAAAAAGGAGAGTTATTTCTGCAGGCAAGCAGTTTTGTTCTCCAGAAGAGACCTGGAGACAGGTAAATTGTTGATGGGTGAGGGGACGTGATTGCAATTCAGAAAAACTCAGACGTCCTGCTGCAGCTGGCCATGGGTGCCTGCAGCAAAGGGGGAAAAGGACAGGCTGAGTGGCACTGCTGAAGCAGAGGCCTGGGGACTGCAGTGCTTGCAACACTTGAATGGTGCATCACCCTTACTAGATCATCTTTAAAACCAAGTTCTGCAGCCATCTCTTGGGACATAGATACAGCAGAGCAGGAAGCAACCTTGGGGCAGGGGCTGAATTACATGATTATTCAAATTCCTTCAGCCCAGTTTTCTCTGATTTTATACTTAGACTTATTTGCAATCTGATTACAGCAGGAGATTGAAATAGCAATCAAGTATGTTCAGGCTGAACAAGTCAAACTGACAACAGGTAAGTCTTCCTGCCCTCACAATATTTGGCACTGCAAATACACATGTATGACCAACCAAGCTAATTTTATCACTGCTGAGAAGTGAATCATCAGTCCATTTCTCAGAAGAAAGGGATCCTGCTCTCCTGTGCTCCATCCTGCCTGGTCCTGCTTCCACTGCTTGACTTTATGTCCATAGAGTGAGAACTGCAAGTCTCTCATTGTATCACTTTGCATTTGCTTTGCCTTCACCCTGCATTGTTGTGAGCAGGACACACAAGACAAGGTAAGCAAGCCCTGGGCTTGAACACGTGGACAGCAATCCAGGCCATTCAGCTACAAGCCAAGCTGAAGCTTTTGGTTCCCCCACCCAGGACTGTGCCAGGAGGTTTCACAGACTCTTCAAGGATGAGTGTTTCTTGAGGAATGTAGGGTGAAATGTCGGTGATTTTTGGTCTGCTGCATGCAGGCTCTGTTGTTACAGGAGGGGTCATCTGTGTAGTGTTTTCAGCCTGGACAGCTGGTATGGAAATGATTCATGCTGTTAGAACTGCTTTGCTTTGGAGGTCAGGCTGGCTCTTTAGGACTGCCACCAAAGAAAAGCTTTTACTTCAAGTCTGTGAAAGATACCATTTGTCCTGTTTATTTTTCCAGTGTTGGTCATATGGATGGAATATGCCTCTTTCTGCCACAGCCTGTCTTCCTAGCCATGAAGGTTTTCTGGAGTCATGCAGACTCCATACTTTGGCTCTTCAGTAGCTCTTTGCAACAGTCTTGCCTTTATTTTGCTTTGTCTTTTCTCTGGATTTATTTCTTCTCCATACATTGCTTTGGTGGGGTTTTCCTCTCTGTTTTGTGCACCACAGACAGAGAGAGCAACTGCTGCATTATAGGTCCTCTCTGCTCCTGAAGGCCCACTGAGAACAAGGTGAGGATGGAAATGGAACTTTCAGCCTAGTTCAAAGAAGAGGTACTACAGTCCCCAGATGAGCTCTTAGGAGTCAGGTCATGTGTGATGGCACAAGTAGTTACATATCCAACCCTTTGGCTGTGATTTCTTCATTTAGGTTTTTATGGGGGCAATTAAAAACCCAGGAAAATGTCGGGATAGTGACACAGCAAAACATTCTCTAGCAAAAGGTAACTTTTGAGGAAGGACTTGCAATCACTGGAGCCTTTCTTTGCCCTCTGATCCACAGCCCTGCCTCATCCAGGAAATGTGTCTCCCTTTGGATTTCCTTCCAGTGACTGGTTTAAACTCTCTTGCACACCCCTCTCCAGCCAGCATCAGCTGCTTTTCATTTCCTTCTTCCTGCTGTGTGTGCTCCCAGCCCAGTGCCCAGCACACCTGTTCCCACCACCAGCAAGCAGCAGTGCAGAGATCACACCCATTGCAGCTCCCTGCTAAAAACAGAGAAGAGGTAACACCTGTTGAAAAAGAATGTTCATAGATCTGCTGACACAGCTGAAAGAGGGAATGAATTATGTTCTGCATATCGCTTTGTGTGCAGCTACACAGGACGTCAAATTAAATGTCTGCCTGCAAGCAGACACACTTCTTTAATGACCACCAAATCCAGGTAGGTGTGAGCCATGCTGAAGCACTGCAGAGAAGTGCAGACACGTGTGTGTCATAAGGAAATGTGCACCACAAATTTTGTGTGCTTTTTTCTCCCCCATATTGCTTAGGAAGTAGAGGGGAAAGTGAAGAGCATATTAATTGCATGTTTGCATATGGCAAGGATCCATGAATGCTGTGGTTTCAATGAGCACCCTAATGCTATGTGGGGAATGAAAGGGAAGCCACAGAGCTCAGCACTACAATTATTATTCTTTCTGGGGTAAACTTGGGGCCCTTGGATAGATTTAAGTCAGCCTTGCAAACAAGGAGCGAGTGGCAGACAAGAAAGGAGGAAAGGCCTAGGAAAAGGAAGGCTTTGAGTACAAGACACACGACCCTAGGAACATCCCTTCACAGAACCCCTTTAGGCTCCTGGGAATGTGGCTGAGCCGCCTGTGGCTGTATGTCTTTCTGCCAGTATGACAGAAAGCAAAGCCCCACATAGTAAATGGGCACTGTAACAAAATAGGAGAAATGAAAACTCACCACTTTGGAAGTAACTGATATATGAGGAAAAATCTCTTTGTAATTCCTTCATTTCTTCATGGCAAGCTAAGATTGCTCCTTTGCCTTGTCACACACAGTCTCCCCTTCCTGCTCTATATCTCAGAAAGAGCATAAGCTGGCAATCTCCCTGGGGAATCAGACAACTTTCAGGCTGACTGGGTGCAGAGTAACTTCAATATGAGGGCATCTCCTTCCAGCAGTTTGTTACCATTTGAAGACAGTATGTGAATGGGAAGCTGCAGGACAGCAGAAGAGGGTGGCCACCTCTGCTTCCTATGCACTGCTTTTTATTTACTAGGTTTTTTACCCTTCATAGTTGCAAGACGTGCTTGCAGAAGGGATCCAGGCAGACTTCATAGGGCTGGAGACAACCTGAAGAGTCATTCTTGGGGGAATATATCACCTTTTTTCTCCTAACCATTTCCTACAACTCAAATCTTTCCCTAGGAAGGATGACGAGCTGCACACTCTGAATTTTACCTCAAGAAGATACCTTGCATCAAGGAGTGGGAAGCAAATGGCTTTGGTACAGGAGGCAGCTGAAGAGCTGCTGGAACAGGACTGGATGAGTCAGGGCAAGGGATGGCAACAACTCTACTTTGACACACTGTATGAGCCATATAGAGTCAGCTCCAAACTCCCAGTTACCCACATGAAAGACTAGAGGGCAATCCATGCAAATTTGTGCCACTTGACCCTTCAAGCATGGTAGAGAAGTTGGATACTCACATCTTGGCTACATCCAACAGAATCTGCCCTGGTCAGAATAAAGTAGATACAGCACACACAGGCTGGTCAGGGGAGTGGGAGGATGATGTTCCCTGTACTGCCAAGGGTTAAAAGCAAGGTCCAGATGCACAAGAAATCCTGTGAGGAGAAAAGCACAACCCAGCAATTCAGGCATGTCTCACCCCCGTTCAAATGACATTGTTTCAGTGCTGTCTGCCTCACCCCTCAGTGGTAATTACAGACTTTCACTACAGGGGGAAGAGAACACGGGGGAAGAAACCTTCATTACAGACATCTCCTAGAGAAAAGCAACCCCAGTGTAAAGTCTCAGGCACATAGCCAGGATCAGCCACCAAAGCAAAACACATTT